AAGGGATAAGATGGGATGGACAGATGGACAGACACAGTAATGCTTACTTCTTTATTTATATATCATATTTATTGACCACCCATCTCCCTCACAGAGTAACTCTGAGTGGTGGATATACTTCTTCATATTTTAACCCCTAGCAAACAAAGCATTTACATAATAATTACAACATAATTTCAGTAAGTGTTTTTAGAATTATTTAATTAATGGAAAGGCTATTGTGATTTGGATGTGATTGACATGTCAAAGAATTGAAATAATGTATGTTGGAGTCAAGGGGAACAAGAAATGAAAATAGGGTAAAAATTTCAGAAATGCAGATTAGATTTTTGTTCTTCAGCAAGTCATCAAGAATATATGTAAGTGAAAATATGACATGATATATTTGTTCATTTGGACAAAGAATATAAAGTGTATATAAGACTGAAGTATGGAATATTTGTAGTGAATATGGAGATGAAGGTTGATTGCTAAATATGATAAAAGCAGAAAAAAAGTGTACACAAGAATAATTGACATACTTAGGAAATGGTCAACACTGAACAGAAACTATTGTAAGACTGTGTAATGTTTCCTTGGGTGTTTAATTTACTTATGAATTAATGCATATGGAATGCTATATGCAATATACTATAAAATGTCAGGAATGAATGAGAATTAAATATAAAAATTAATGATCACTATGGAAAAAAGTATGTTGAGATGATTTGGTCATGGAGAGAATGCAGGAGGACTGAATTGCCAAACAAATGCATAAAAGCAGAGGGGATAGGTCAAGAGAGGACTAGGAAAGTGATAGTTAAATGGAGTTGATGGGAACTTTTGAAAAAGAGGTGAGAAGAATAAAGAAAAAAGGCAATGTATCTACCAGATAAGAACATTATGGAAGCCAGTTGGTTGTAGGGATAGAAAGTTATGAAAAGATACACTGAAAAGTATTGATATAAAACTGCTAGGACAGTAATTAATCTGCTGCAAATCTATACAACCTCTGTCTTCACTCTGTACCAAAGGACTGAGCAACTCTGTTCAGAATCTAAAATCCATTGAGACATTTTCCCATGTAAAAATGGCTCTCGTCTGACTTTGCATTTCTTGCAGTTTATGTTTCCTTCCAATGGGAGTTCCTCTCTCTCTAATCCTTTACTGACTCCAAATCTTTTGAGTATACAGCTCTAATGCCTGACCTCAACATTTTAGTGAAGCACATTCCAGCTCCATGATTTCATGACACCAGGCTGAACTCCCTGCTAGGCTGCCTTCTGACTCTTGCTGGGTGGATAAACAGTGAACAATGCTTATAGAAGACCAATCTGCTAGGTATGGCTTTAGTACATTGGTTTCAAGAATTCTCTTTTATTCCTCTCAGTCAACTGAAATGCTTTATGCTGCCTGAATCCTTCACTAATGAAGAATCAAAAATAGAAATAGCGTACAATACCATTCAAGAAGAAATTTTACAAACAGCATAAGAACAAACTTCATGATCTCATCACTTAGTTTATCAAAAATGTTAGCCACCTACATCCTTCCCGTTTTACTATCATATCAGACAATTTGTATAACTGCAGATGTTATTCCTTTTTCAGGAATACAGAACCAGGTTTAGATGTTGGCCTAGGAATGGGGGGACTTCCCATTCAACTCTGGTCTCAGCTTTACAAGCTCCCTTGGTTACTACGGGCCAACTACCTCAAAAGGAGGCCAGGGGTTGTTTGGAACAAATGAGATGAGAGATCATGTTGTAGTCTGCCTTAAACTTTTGTTTCAAAGGCAGAATAAGAATCAAGTATTATCCTGTTGTGCCTATAGAGCAGTGATCCCCAACCTTTTTGACGCCGCGGCCCGGTACCGGCATCAGCTGGGCGCCGCGGCCCAGTACCGGCATCAGCTGGGCGCCGCCATCTTTTTTTGATGAAAAAGTGCTTCCGGTGAGCTTTCTACCCGGAAAAGCTCACCGGAAGCACTTTTTCATGAAAAAAAGATGGCGGCGCCCAGCAACCAGCGGCCCGGTAGGAGTTGTTCCGCAGACGTTGGAGACCCCTGCTATAGAGTATCTTCACTGTTCTGTAATCAGTATTAATTATCTTTAGAATTTAAAATTTGCCGCCTCTTTCTTAAATTTTGTTGAAATTCTAGTCATAGTGCTTTTAGCTAAATTTGTTCCTCAGGAAATAGTACAGTAGAGCCACTTCGAAATATATCTTCTAGGATTGTAATTGAAGTCCATTCTGGCTGGATGACTTGCAGGTGCCCTCTGTATCTGCAAATCTATACAATTCAAATGAAACTGAACTCCTGAGTAAACGTAAATAAAACTATGCTGTTAATCACTTGGTGCGTCATTTAATCTATTTCTAAAACAATGTTTCACCCTTATTTTTTTTAGTGGTATGGTTTATTAACAAATTAAGTTTAAAACAAAAGTAATTTTTTCCTCCTCTCTCTTTTTCTGAAATAGTGAGCCTTGCTTGCAATTCCCTCCTGTTAATAAGTTTCTTCCACCCAAAATTCCAAGCTGGGTAGAGACACCTTTGCTGCAGATGTCTTGGAAATGGGAAATAGCCTCTTAAAGCCATTTGTGCTTATCAGGGTTGTCTGCTGTAGTCTTTGGGTGATACTGAATGGAGAGGGGAATGAGCTTCTTTGATTCCAAGCTCTGAGAAGGGCTATGGGGAGGTAGTGATTGTAATTTGGAGGAAAATGGGATTCTTATTAGAAGCCCTAGCAATACTTTCACCTCTTCCCAGCCTCAAACACTGGCACATGGAAAATATTTAAAATAAAAATATATCCAGTTGATTTGGAGGTATAGGGGATGTTTGAAGTGCAATAGATCAAATTCTGACAGCCTGGATTGCTGAGAGGCTGGTCAAGCCTTAGAGGCTGGGCGGGGAATAAAGCAAGCTTCCTAAGATGTCGTAATTTAACTAAGCCCTACATATGTAATTGTTTTAATCTTTTCTCCCAGAACTTAGTTGTTCCCAGGCGTTTAATCATTTTGGTTTCTCTCTGAACTCTCTCCAGATTATCAATATGTTTCAGTGTTGAGGTATCCATAATTGGGTTACAGTATATTAGATGTGCTTTTTAATTCTGCGTGTAATATGATCCATCCTTAATCTTTTTTATTATTATTTTTAAATAGAGGTTTTAAAAATGTGCTACAGTGTGGCTATCCTACATGTTTAATGAACCATTTTCCCTGCCTGCCTGTTCAGGTTTCTGTTCAAACACAGAAGTGACTTTTCTACGTTTTCATAACAAAAGAGGGCATGAATTCAAGGTGCCCCTTTCTGAGGCTGACACTAATCCACGTATGCAACGCTATCTCATCTAGCTATCTAGTCTATCTTGGAGAGGGGCCTGCTACCTCTGAATGACTTTTATTACAACTTTTATGTATTAACATACCTTGGATTATTATTTTTTTTAAAAAAAACATGGGCCTTATATTTAGCTATGGGGTCTCCAACAACACTTTGCTGTGCCACATAAATTTTGAAACGGAGCTGAGTTTCAAAAGTACATTATGTGTTCAAAAAAGTACATTATGGGTTCAAAAAAAAAAGGAAGTAAAAACAAATTATTCTGGATGAATGGAATCCCTGGAGTTTTTTTTTAAGAGCAAACCTATATCCTAAAAGAATGTGAGGTTTTAAAAAATTCTATTACTGCTAGAAGTGGTGAGCTTGGCACCAGGATGCAGATTTTGGGTGCAGGAGCCCTTTTTAGCTTATAGTGCATTTCTAGTCTTTGCTGTGTATTTTTCAACATTAAATAACTTTTTCAGCAGAAGTGATAATTTAATGTGAATGAAATTTGCTCCATCATTTCATATGGAAGGTAAAGTTAAAGCGACCACCCAGGAAGTAGCTTGACTCTTGAGAGATGGAACTGTCAGACCTTTACTGATGATTGATGATTTGAAATGATTCCTTAAATAGCCTAATACCATGTTATAGCCCAGGTTCTTTTTCAAAGCTTACGAAATAATCCAGTTCTGTTTAGACAGTCATACTTTAGGCTTTCCATTTTGTATCTACAAGCAAGCTTTTCTCTGAAAGGAATCAGTGGATGGGTAGTGCTTAAAAGACATCCAGGCAACCAGAGAATGAGATGGTTAGGAAAAAGAAATTGAATAACTAGAAGTTGATAGGATGATGCTACAATAAACAATGTGGTGACTACGTATTTTGCGACAGGGGCTTTGAATTTTGATCCCAGTCTCATCCATTTTTCACTCCATTCTGTCACTAAAGAAAAGTGTAGATTGCTAGTACATAACTTCATTTTCATTTTCTCTTACAAGCAATGTGTCCATTGTTACTTTATACTGCAGTGTTATTGTCTTTCATAATACACAGAACAGCAAAAGAAAAATTGCCTCTAGCATTAGGCAACCTTAATATAAAGGAAAGAAACTGAATAGGAAAAAAGTAGATTTGCTCTTCCATCACCTTTCTTTCAGATCAAAATGAAAGCAGTGACTAGGCAATATTTGGATTCATTACTGTATGAATTTTGTTTACTTTGCTGGAAAAGTTTAGATTTAAGCTGTTTGTAAAAATAGCACAAAAAAAAAACCCTATAGCAATAGCAATAAGACTTATATACTGCTTTACAGAGCTTTACAGCCCTGTGTAAGAGGTTTACAGAGTCAGCATATTGCTCCCAACAATCTGGGTCCTCATTTTACTGACCTCGGAAATATGGAAGGTTGAGTCAATCTTAAACCCCATCAGGATTGAACTCCTGGCAGTGGGCAGAGTTAGACTGCAATACTGCATTCTAACCACTGCACCACCGGGGCTCTATACTACCTTTTAGTATAAAGTGGTTTTTAATGGGCAGCCATTGTGACCTTATTTGTGCTGCTCCCCAAACTTGTTGGATTCATCTGAGCTTTATGGGAAGAAGAGCAAACCTGCATAAACTATATGTGAGCTGTCAGTGATAATTTCCCTATATCTATACCTATGGTTATGGTTTTCTTGCAGAACAAAGGTCTGAAAAGAATTTTCTCAGGAATTCAGCCAACGGGGATTCCTCATCTGGGGAATTATTTTGGTGTCATCACAAGCTGGGTGAAGCTACAGGAAGAATGTAGTTCTGTATTATACAGCATTGTGGATCTCCACTCCCTCACCATTCCAAGAGAGCCAGCTGTTTTAAGGGAAAGCATCCTAGACATCACTGCTGTTCTCCTGGCCTGCGGCATAAACCCACAAAGATGCTTCCTTTTCCAGCAGTCCCAGGTCAGTCTCTTCCTCTGGAGGTTTCTGCATGGTTTTTCTAGATCATACTATATATGTGTATCTTTATGCTGTTACCCACATATCTACATCAATATTCAAAGGTAATTTTGAATAATCCAGAAGGTATTTCCTATGGAAAATGGACAGGAAAGATTATCAGCCTTTTAGGGGATCTGCTTCTGGGCTCATTAACGAAGAAATCATTTTAGCCAGTTACAATGTTTGTAATGAAAGGGCAGGCAACTATGCTTCAGAGTGTTCATCTGGCTTCCTTTATAGATAGCCCTGGTCTATATTAGAGACTTAAATGGGGAACGGAGAATACAGTAAAACACAATTTATTGTGAGGCTGTCTTTTTATGGTTTGATTATTTGCACAGCAAAGTGGAAGAAGAATTCCGGTAAGGAAAAGAAAGGAGTTCCATTCTGGTGTTAAATTGCAATGGTCCAAAGAAGACATAGGAAGAGTCTGCTTGCTGTAGCTTTGGCGTGGCATCTGCATCTCTGGGATCTGGAGAGAAAAGAATTGGTGCTGACAATAATAGCAGCAAAGGCAGGAGGGAGAATTAAAAATAATTTTGCATTGTTTATGAACTCTGGAGTAACATTTGTAAAGAGGAGGTTCTGCATCATTCAGGCAGAGTTCACGGAATGAGAACCTCAAGTGCATGAAGAGAACAGACGCCCTGAAGGTGGAAAGCTTAAAACTGAAACACATTCTATGCTAAATTGTGATTGCTACAACCAAGATTTGTTGAACAGGCTGCAGAGGGATTCAGTTTTCATAACACTTGGAGCCATAAACCATTGATTATATAATGCAATAAGCCAGAACCAAATAAACTACATGGTTTAGTACAGTGTATGAACACAAGCTAAGTGCAACATGGTATTTTTCCTCCATGTGTGGAACATAACAAATTATATTGAAGACTGCGAGCATGCTTTGCAGTTGCTCTTGCATTTAAGTAACATAGTAAAATGTTACTATGTTCATTTGCTTATTTTCTGCTCCTTCCCTTCCCTTCCCTTCAAAGCATATAATTCTCTTCATGAACATTGATTCTGCCCACAAAACAGGGTTCTGCCCACAAAACAGGAATGTTTTGTGCCAGTGAAATAATTTGCAAAATACCTGCATTGGGGTGAATTTTATTGTTCTGGCTTTAATTTGTCCTTACCAGCAGGAGGCTGACTCAAGTGGTCACACAGAAACTGCTGATCTTATATCTGGTGTTCATCGACTGCTTCTACAAACACAAGGCTCCTAGTGCTTTCTTTTCAATGCCCCAAAGTATGCAACTTGGCAAGTCAAGGCAGAAGCTTGTATGAAAAATAGACATCTTACATGAAAAAGTTTTCCAAACACTCTGTCTTTATGAGAAGCTTCTTTAATTTGTCAAAATTTTAATGGGTCCTAATGTTTGTTTAATAATAGTAAGAAAGACAAAAGAAGCTTGGATAGTGGATGTGACAGTACTGGGAGACAGCATAATAGAAGAGAAAGAACTGGAGAAAATCTCAAAATGTGAAGACTTGCAAAGAAGCAGAATGACTTTGGCAAAAGAAAGCAGAGATAGTTCCAGCAGTAATAAGTCTAGTCCCTAATGTGGTGTTCCAACAGCTTCATCAAACAAAACAAAAACCCAATACCAGCTGCAATGGTTAAAATAATTAAGAATCTCCCAGGAGAAATTGTACACATCAAAAGAGAACTAGAATATATCAGAAGGGAACCATTTGGAATATTTGATTTTAAATTAACACTGTCTCAGAAGAGAAGAGAGAAAAGAACCAGTGGGAGACAAAACACACTGCATTCAACAAAAACATTCTAACACAACCTGACTAAAATATGTTTAGTAGAGTATATGGATAAGTCAGATTGCATCTTCTTTACCTGCTATTAATATTCTTTGCTCGTTCAATGGTTTTTACAAGAAATGAGAGGATTATCTTCTTTGGAATTAATGTGCCAGATTTTTTTTCTTTTTCAGAATTAGTAGTTCTGTACTGACACAATACAGAACCAAAAATACTCTTGAACACAGAATGACAGATTCTGCACACAGTTCCACACCGCTACTGTCTGAGCTCCTGTTTTTGATTGCAGATTCAAATTGACACAAATGTGGTTCTCTAGCTGAAGAGTGTCATTTTCCAGAAACAGAGCTGTAGAATTTTGTTTGAATTTGCTGCCACTAGCTAATACTATTTTTCTGACCATTAATAACTATCTTTTTTAATAGTCAGGCAATGTAGTGCTGATAATCAGAACTTTGATTTAACTGTTTCATAGTTTCTATTATCCACAGATTTTTGATAGTTTGGATCTGAGTTATCTGGAACGGCTATTTGGCTCTGAATCTCATTGGCTGAGTTAAAAAGGAAAAAATCTGGAAAAGCTGCCAGAGGGATACATATGTGAAATCATTCAACATTAATGCAACAGTCAGCTTATTTGAAAAATGTCATTTCTTAGAAAACTATCCAAAGTAGATTAGATTAACAGGAGCCCACAGAAAATATAACTTATCAGAATATATGAGAATTTACAGTCAGAATCCAAAGATAAAGGGAAGGCATTGATCAAATAACGTTGACCAGCAAAGAAAAAGGCTAGGGTTATCTGTCCTGGAAGACAAATAATCAAGAAACAGTCTCAAAACTTTATGCAAAGGGTTGTTGGTTATTCCTGTTGTTGGTTATTGTTATTATTTCAGAAAATCAACTATCTCCATGTTTGGACCAAATAAAATTGAAATGTGAATAGCAGAATAAAATGAGTATGAGAAAGAGAGTACATTAAAATAGAAATTTACAGATCAGATCTAGGTGCTCATTAATACGTAGTCAAAGCTCTGGGGATCAGTAGAGGATGCGATTTTGGATGATCACATCTTTGGCAAATTCAGCTGGGTAAAGTACAGTGGAATTTATAACATTTTATAATACTTCTACATATTTTCAGCTTATACTGCAAGAAAGATTTCCAGAAGAATAAGTATTCTGATCATAAGCTTTCCCTTGATTCTGGTTGTTTGGATATGAGATTAAACTGGTTGATTTTTGATAAGAGGGGAGATACCTTGTAGCAGAGATATAAAATATTGGTTTTGTCTCTTTGTATATTAAGGTCAAGGACCAGTCTTAAGTACACATTGGGAAATGCTTTTAAGCTCCAGGCTTGCTCTAAATGTCTCCTAATTTGAGAGTAGGAGACAGCCAGAATGGTTTAGGATCCAACAGCTGAAACTGGCTTCTCATCTGCACTTTGCCCAACTACCTTTCATAGACTTGGAGAATGATGGGATTGGAATTCCTAACCTAGCTTTGCCCTTCAGAATTGGGAGTTCTTTCTCTAACCTCAGAGGACAGAATCCTATGGCCTTTAGGATGGTACCTCAGAGGCTCTTGCACTCATCCTTTTGATATTTTATCAATTGGTTAGGCATTAAAAATCAAATAAAAATCTAAATGAATTATTTAAAGTCAAAGATTACCTTAAATATTTTTGATGTGATGTACAAGTAAGGCAAGTTATAGTTAACACAGATCAGCAAGTTGAGCTGAGAATATATTTTTGGGAACTAAAATAACCCAATCCATGGAATAAATAAATATAAGTATATGTGTGTGTGTGTGTGTGTGTGTGTATGTATAAAACCCTTGCCTTTTATTTGGAAGGATATCTTCCAATTGATGTTGAGTTTTTATAAAACCACAATGTACTTATTTTCGTCTATCATTTGTTTCAGGTGCCTGAACATGCTCAGCTTAGCTGGGTCTTAGGGTGTTTGATAGGAATCCAACGTCTAGAACATTTTCCTCAGTGGAAGGTAAGGTTCCATTGAGAAGACAGAGGTGAGTTATCTGGGAAGGTTATTTTCCATCAATAGCCCATTCTTCACAGCAGTAGCCCATTCTTCTGCCTGTGCATAAACATAAAGAAGAAGTGGGAATGCTTGATGATGTGGCTGAGATCACTAAATATTTGAATCCTCTATGTTCCAGATTTTTTTTTTAAATTGCACTTTCTGTAGGCTGCTCCTTTAAAGAATTTGCTTAAGTTACTTTCTGATTTTGGACAATATTCTTATAAATCATGCAAATGACCTTCTAATCTATAAATAAATAAATAATTTCTCAGTTTATGGAAAAACAACCTGTCCTAATGATGAGTATTTTATTCAAGATCAAATAATAAAGAGATTAATCAAGGTTATGTTATTTTTCTACCACTAGCTTAAGAAGGCCAGTCAGACCAGTGGAGCGACAGTTGGGCTCTTTACCTATCCTGTCCTTCAAGCGGCAGATATTCTTCTCTACAAGTAAGAATGACCGTTTTTCTATTTGCAGATGGAATGCCTGTAATATAACGTGTCGGACAAAAGTTACAGCTGAGTTATTGAGAGCATCCAACTCCCTCCAACAAAATGGTATCAACCATGGAGCAGATCCCCTGCCCTTCACCTTAAGAAGTGTGAATTGTTCTGTAGCAGATATTATGGAGGGTACGGCTGAAAGCTTGGAAGGAGAGCAAAATAAAATTCCCTTCTGCTCCAGCTTCTGTAAACTATCAGCAAATCTAATTGTTCTATTTAGCACTCTGGAATGGAGTGGAGTGGCGTGGCGTGGCGTGGCGTGGCATGGCATAGAATAGAATAGAATAGAATAGAATAGAATAGAATAGAATAGAATAGAATAGCAGAGTTGGAAGGGACCTTTGCGGTCTTCTAGTCCAACCCCTGCCTAGGCAGGAAACCCTACACTACTTCAGACAAATGGTTATCCAACATCTTTTTTAAAAATTTCCAGCGTTGGAGCATTCACTCATTCTTCAGTTTTCTGAAGGCGTTTGAAATAAGCAGGTAAGATAGGCACAGTTTTCTTTTTCATTTGAAAGGTCAACACATGTTCCTGTTGGAGAAGATCAAATCCTCCACTTGGAGCTGACTCAAGATACAGCCCGCCAGTTCAATAAGAAGTATGGGGAGTTCTTTCCAGTACCCAAAGCCCTTTTAAGTGAGTAAGAAGAATAGCAAAAAGCACAACAAGCCGCTGGTTGAATAATATCAATGTGTTTTGGATGGGGTGGGATAGGATGGGATGGGAGGAGGATTGGGCAACTATCAAAGAAAAGAAAGTTCAACCATGAACCTTTTTGGCAGTCCGAAATAAATATATGTCATCATTCCAACTGGGAAAATATTTGTAAGGCCACAAAAGCTATAGGAAAGGCTGCCTGTCAGATCTAGAGAGTAGCTTGGTACTTCTGCATCTCGTGTCCATCAAGCCACTCTGCATCTGATGAAGTGAGTTGCAGCTCACAAAAGCTGTGGCTTAAATTAAAAATAGGCGAGTCTTAAAAGATGCTACCAGACTGTTTCTGATTATACTAGACTGACATGACTCTTTTCCTATATTATGTACAGGTTGTAATTTCCTATTTTCTTTTGATTGTAGCCTCGGCAAAAAAAGTGAAGTCCCTTAGAGATCCCACCTCAAAGATGTCAAAATCAGACCCTGATAAATTAGCCACGGTGTGTATCACGGATAGTCCTGAGGAGATAAAGCTGAAATTTCGCAAGGCTGTGACGGACTTTACCTCCGAAGTGACGTACAATCCCGAACATCGCCTGGGAGTCTCCAATCTTGTGGCTATTCACTCTGCTGCCACAGGGCTCAGCACAGAGGAAGTGGTCCAGCAGAGCACTGGCCTGGATACAGCCCATTACAAGGCAGCGGTGGCCGAAGCGGTCATTGAAAAACTTGCACCGGTCAGGAATGAGTTTAAGAGACTAAAAGAAGACAAAACTTACCTGGAAGAGGTTCTGTCATCCGGAGCAGAAAAAGCCAGAGAACTTGCAGCTCCTGTGTATTGGGAAATTAAAAGATTGGTGGGGTTGAACTGAATCCAAGAAAAAGTAGCTATCATCTTTCATTACTTCAGTATGTCCCATGACTTCAGTCCTGTTTTGAGGATCCAAAAGGAGATTGATTATCAGATTGTTCCCTCACAGGTCTTAATTATTTTAGAGCCAGGCTTGGAGGCTGCAGAGAGCCAAACCACATGCAGTACAGTGAAGACATCTAAGTACGGTTTAGGGTGGAAAGCTGAATCTGCTCCAAGGGCCAGGTTTCCCACCAGATAGATGATTACGTGGGGTGGAACTTCTGGGCGAAGATGCCCTTTCTATTTCTGCCATGCAACGGTCTCTTTGGTCCACTAGTGGCTGCAGTTAATTATTCCTAGGATCATTTGAGTGGTGAAGACAACTGTAGCTGATCTAGCTTTGATCTGCCCTCGGGGGCAAAAGATGGCAAGATATTGAGAATTAAGATCTTTAAGGACTACCTTGCCAGTCCAAGTAAAAATGCTGTGAAGCCAGCTCAGCTGAAAACTGTTCTCTCAAAGTATTCCAAGCAAGTTACAACACTGTTGTTGAGACTTTTTACAAAAATGATCCCACTTTTGTTATTTTTATAAATAACTCAAGGCACTGAACATACCTAAAAGACCTGCCTCCTTCCATTTCCCCACAACTCTGGGGTGAGTTAGGCTGAGAAAGAGTGGCCTGCCTAAATCACCCAGCAGGTTTTCATGCCTAAATCAGGATTAGAACTCAGTCTCCTGGTTTACAGCCTGGTGCCTTTACTAGACCAAACTGGCACTTTGTTGCTCCCAGGTCTATGCCAGAATAGCAACCTTCCTGAGAAGAAAGACAAAAATAGAGCAAAGCCCTGAGGGAACTTCATGCTGAAAGAGCTCAGTGAAGTGATGGCTCTTGTCTTAGGGGAAGAAGGAAGTTCCATCTGGTTTGTGGTCCCAGGGACAAAATGGGGAGAATAGATAGTTCAGAGTTTGAAGATTCCTTACTCACTTCTTTTATCTTTTCCTTCCTCTTTCCAGTATGAAAGCTGCCCTAGATAACCTGGGCTTATGTGACAAAAATGGCACACAATGCTAAGCAACGATGTTGCTTAGAATAATCTGCCTTCCTCATGCAGGCTTTGGTTGTTCCATAAGAGAGTTTCTCAGGGCATTTTATTCTGTGACAGAGTTTATGAAGATAGGAAGTGGCACTTGTTTTCTAATGAAACGAGTTTTGGGAAAAGTCAGCCACATCTCTCTGGATATTTGAAAAAGGAGTGCTGAGTTTATAACTTGTGTTCTTTCTCAGAACAGAGAAGTTATTCCTTCCATTCCCTAAGATGTGAATCACATCCGTGCATCTTTCTTCTGGTATGTTTGCAAGTTTATTTGAAGTGCAGCATAACTATGGAAAACAGGACACCATTCTTATGCTGTGGATGCTTGGCAGGCAGAACAGCCTCGGCTTTATGAACTTAAGATTTTTTTTCATGTGCAGCCAGACTGGTTCTGAAACAGACATCTTCACGTTTTTGTGCCTTATGTAAGAGTGTGAGCAAAAGACTACAGCCCGAGCCAGGATTCCCAAACAGCTGCATAGCAACTCCAATGCTCTTATTTTGTTTCATGTTTACTGACTTCATAGGAAGCCCTACAAACTCCAGAGCCAGTTTTCCAGTGTCATCCCTTTAACGTTTAGCATTGTTAGATCATGGTCTTGAGAAAAATCCCAAATGATGTGGGAGCAGCCGTAAACCTATCCAGCCAATGCCTCGTCATCAGGTCTCTATTCTTCACACCCTGCCTGCAAAACTAATTCTCCTGTAAGGTTCCCAGAATTTGTGTGTAAGCATTCATGAATACATAAAAATCCCTTCCCTAGCCCGTTGTGTGGAAGAAGAGGGTATGTTTCTATTGTATGATGATATACCTCTGGCTGTTCCCTCTTTGAGGGAGATGAGCGGTTCAACAATGTGAAATATAAGTAAGTAAGGAAATATTCTACCCAGCTATAGCACGATCATGGTTGTGCCCTGTGGCTACACGGCCAGAGACAGCCCAGAAAGCACTGGCCCAGCCGGTCAGCACCTCTTGCAGCCTGCCAAAGAGCTGATTGGTGGGTTCCTGGGAAAGTGGGAGGTAAAGGGCAGGATGCTAGCATCTTCTTCTGAATTGCCATCTGGAAACTGTTTACACGTGGGCTGCCTGCTAACCACAGAGAGATTCAGCTCTCTATCCAGACTCATCAAATGGTGGTGTTTGAAAACAAACTCAAGCTCTTCATTTAACCATTTTAGCTCTTTAGTGGGATTAAATTCTCTCTTTTGCAGGCTAACTTAAACAAATGTTTACTTTTGTGTGCAGATCTCTCTGTCATCCTCAGCCACCACTGGTTCGCTTTTCAGTGTCAAAACTGTAAAGGTCCTATGAGATAGGCTGCTGCAGAGAAGCACTTGGGGAATTCAGTGCTTTTCCTGCACTCTGTAATCTTTCCCAATTCTCTTTAAACTCAGGGCATTGACACGAATCCCCCACATAAACTAATATGAATTGATATAATGGAAAGAGCTGTTGGGCCCGTTATCTCATTCTAAAGACAGTGAAAGATGAAAACAGTAATAAAATAGTAATAGACATCTGTTGCTGAATGAACTGGAAACTCTTGTTGGTAAAATGATTAAAATGCTGGTGAACGGGAAGTAAGTTTTATTCATTTGGATTCTTTATTTTCCATACGCTGTAAAAGCAGTGAGATTTCTACCAAGCATCTCATTATTGTCAAGTGTTTTTGTTGCACTGCATAGCTAAACCTTTGATAATTTTGATACAGATTAATGATAGCATGCTCCGTGCAATGTGGTAGCAGCAGTCAGGTGGATGAGGGAGGTTTTAGGAGAGCTCCAATCTCAGAAAACGCAGAATCTCAACCAAAAAGCTGACAAGCCAAGAACGGTATTTTAGGTCCTGAACGGTATTTTTCCCCTAGAACTGGGAAGCTAATCACTGGCTGGATGATTAATGAGACACAGCATATTGCTATAGAACTATATTCAGCTATTTTCAGGAGAGCAAGGAACACATGCTGTCTTTTAGAAAACGATAGGATGAAAACATTGTGCAATATGTGATGAATAAAACCTGCACCACAATGTTCTAAAGAAACACGATTCCAGGAAGTCACAGCATAAAACGTTGAAATATTGCTTGGTAAAGTTATGGCCTATTAAACCCAAGGTCCTGCTTTTGGAGTAATAAAGCACCTGGGCTTCTGTGAGACCTTATTTTGTTTCAGAAAATCAGCAAATCAAAAATCAACACACAAGTCTACTAGTCTTGCATCTTACCATGCTGGCATAAAGAAATATCTCTTTTAAAAATACTCAGCAAAACATTACCTGCATCATTTCTCCTATTCTCCACTTTAAAGCAGTAATGGCAGAGAGGGGACACTGAAGATTTACAATCCCCACTTTGTAATCCTAAAAGTGTCATTCAGAAAACAGCTGGACTTTGGGGGGGAGGTTTCCCTTCTCATCCAAGAGGCTTCTTCAGTTCTGCTGAAGAACTAAGAAAACCCTTTTAAACATCACTTTTGGGACAACCATGACCTGGATGAATGAGAATCTCCACAGACATTTCCCCGCTTTGTACTTCACTATGCTCATTTCTCTTTTTCTTCTATACTTGCATGAAGTATAGAACCTTGCATGAATCGTTGTAGTATTAAGTGTTAAATTACTTGTTTAAAATAATTTAAAGATGAACTTCTCATGAACCCATTAAGACAAGTTGTGTCTTGCCTGGCTGACTGCTCGGTCTGTTCAATCACCAGAAATGGCTTGTCTTGAAATTTTGTGTCCCCATTCATTAAGTTCACTACCTCCCTGCCAGAGCATTAGGATGTCCCTACAGTTCAGTGTTAACAACAGGCATGCATCAAAAAATGTACAGACATATACACATAACAGTTTTCTATTGAGCATTTTAATTCCATTTTAATGGAATAGCCAACACCCAAGAAGACATGCTCAGGATCCAAAAAAGATCTTGACAGACTTGAACAATGGGTGTTCTTCAACAAAATGAAATCTAATGTGGAAAAAAGCAAGGTTTTATACCTGGGCAGGAAAAACCAAAGATACAAGTACAGATTAGACAATCCTGACTCAAAAACAGTAACTGTTAGAGGGACCTTGGAGTGCTAGTGGACAGTCACTTAAATATGAGGTAGCAGTGTCCGGCAGCAGCCAAAAAAGCAAATACAACCCTTGATTGTATAAAAGCAGAGGCATAGAATAAAAACCATGTGAAGTATTAATACTGCTTTAATAAATCCTTAGTAAGACTATACCTGGAATACTGCATCCAGTTTTGGCCACCACGCTACAAAAAAGATGTTGAGTCTTTGGAAAAAGTGCAGAGAAGAGCAACTAAGATGATTAAGGGCTTGGAGACTAAAACATAGGAAGAACGGTTGCAAGAATTGGGTATGGCCAGTCCAGAGAAAGGACGGACTTGGGCTGACATGATAGCAGAGGGGCTGCCACAAAGAGGAGGGGGGTCAGTTTATTTTCCAAAGCACCAGAACACAAAAAACAATGGATGGAAACCAATCGAGGAGAGAAGCAACCTGGAATTAAGGAGAAACTGCCAAACAGCGAGGACAATTAACCAGTGGAACAGCTTGCCTTCAGAAGTTTTTGTGTGCTCCAGCACTGGAAGTTTTTAAGAAGAGACTTGTCTCAAATTGTATAGGATCTCCAGCTTGAGCAGGGGGTTGGATTAGAAGACCTTCAAGGTCCCTTCCACCTCTATTCTTGATTGATTGAAATTTCTCTACTACGCCTTTTTGATACAGATATCTCAGTCCTCTCCATCCAGCACGCATGCACAGAGTTATCAGACATTTCAGTTGGCCTTGGAATTTAGAAGCACTAACTGGTTCCCACTGGCAGCAACAACAATGGGGAGCTGTTGCCTGAGATGGCCACCAGGGGGCAATATCATCTAAAATGCAGCATTTCAGTGCACTCCTAGAGGACAAAATGGAGTGGACAAAATAAATTATTTTATGGAGCAAACAAGGGTTTCTGATTCACTTTTCTTTGCCTAGAAAACTCTGGATAATCAGAAATGGACTTGCATGCAAAAGGGTTCAGTCTGTCTAATATGAAACAAATTCCTTGGTTGACTACTGTATACTAAAAGGTAGCTGTGATTTCATCCAAAGTACCATTTGATTGATAGATTGTGATTCAACACTGAAGAGAACTACTGAAATCTGAAAAATTGCTACTGTTTCACACATTACAGATCCTTAAAGATAGGAAGGCTGTTGAGCAGAGGTGGTATTCAGCAGGTTTTGACCAGTTCTGGAAAAAGGGTAGCGGAAATTTTGAGTAGTTCGGAGAATCGGCAAATACCACCTCTGATTGGCCCCACCCCCATCTATTCTCTGCTTCCCGAGTCCCAGCTGATTGCTGCGTCTTCTTTTGTTGCCCTGCATAGGAGAACGGAGCTGGAAAGCAGGCTAGTGGGGTGGGGGAGGGAATGGGATTTTGCAGTATCCTTCCCCTGCCA